ACTGTTAAATATGTATATCGTACATCCCCATTCTTTTGGTAAAAGCACCATGTTTGATAGTTGAATCAGCTCAAATCCCCTATATTGTTTGGATAAATCATGATAAATCCATATGAACTTGATGGTAACAGTTCCCTTTTGGTTGCTGCTTACCTCCAGGTACCTGGCTCCCGGTTGCAAAGTCCTAGACCTGGGCTGTGGCACCGGGCTATTGCTGGAGCTGCTAGCCCTGCAGCCGGAGGATTACCTCGGCATCGATCCCTCCGAGAAGATGTTGGAGGAGTTGCAAAAGAAGTTTCCGGAGCATGAGACCAGGAAAAAGGCTAATTTTGGGATGTTGGGTGATGTTGGGGACAGTTTTTTCGGTTCATTTTTTGTGGAACCCCCACAAAAATTGAAACAGATTTTCAAAAGGATAAAACACCGTAGTAAGTTTGAACACTGTAAATAGTTTAATTACTATTCCAAAATAGGATTTTGGAATTTTCTCCCAAGGAATGGGGCAGGACGATGTCAAAGTTTCAGACTTATGGGAAGTTTTTTTTTTTCTTTTGTGTGTGGTTTCATACTAAATCCCTCCCATTAGGGAAGCTTCATTGGATTGGGTTGCAGGCCTTTGGAGCAGAAGATTTGGAGGACCTGGAGGGCCAATATCATCCTAATTTGATAAGATGAATGCCGAATGTTGCCGAATAGATAATATCTATATCTATATCTATGACTATCTAGATGTAAACATGTAGTATATCTGAGTACGTTAGCTTAATTTCTCATCCTACATTAGATATGAAATGTTCAATGCTCATAAGTCTCAGAATTCTAACATGCTTTTTGCGAGTTTCATGGGCCATTTTTTGGGCCAGATGAAACCCTCGAGGATGTTGATGTGGCAGTTTCAATATTCGGACCCATCAGCTACGTCGATCCAGACTTGGTCTTCCAGCTGGTCTCCAGTGGTGTGACCGAGCCCTATCTTGGGAGTCAAGGAAACTGCTGAGAGCTTCCCACATGACATGTACAATGATGATGCGGTGGGTGGTTGCGAAATCCTGCACCAGTTGATAGGTGGTAAACATCCCACTATTTATGGGGTTTCAGCCATCCCAAATTGGTTTTGTTTAGGATTTGGCTGGCCCATCCACAGTATCATATACACTTGTACCAAGGATCATGATGTAAACCCACAGGATCCCACTGATTCAACCTGCGGCCTTTGGTGTTTGTAACCCAACTAGTCACGTTTCCCACCTTTGATCTTTCTGCAGATCCAACCGTCGTACTTCCTGATGATCAATCATTTTTTTACACAGCTGGTGTGTTGGTTTTCCTTGGGTTTTGCCCATATCAAAGTTACTTTGCTGGGTCGGGTAACTTTGATACTCTTTGATCAAAGCACCAGCCTCCAATTGTGCGTAGATTCATTGTCCAGTCAAAAAATATTTGGGATGGCCCCAAATTCAAGTCATATATGTTGTGGATGGGTTCGCCAATCAACCGGATCCCTCATGGTGTTGCTGATATATATATATATGTATATATACTGGTTGGTGGTTTGGAACCTGTTTTTATTTTTCCATTCAGTTGGGAATTTCATCATCCCAACTGACGAACTCATATTTTTCAGAGGGGTTGAAACCACCAACCAGTATATATATATCTTTATCCATGATACCATCTCCGATCATCGTGCCGCCAAAACTCTTACATGTTTCTTAGATGTTCTTATCCTCATCCCCCGAAAATGCCTTTTATATAAACTAATATCATATCAAACCAAACCCATCCAATCCCAATATCGTCCTGAAGACATCCACAAAAACCGGCGGGTTCAGTCGAGCCAAGAATTTTATTTGAGAATTTGGATTCCTTTTTTCTACCAAGTTAAACCACGTTAAACCATGTTAAACCACAAAGGTTTGGGTAAACAATCCACTGTATTTTCCTAGGTGAACTACTTCCTGATGTTTTACAAGGAAGGCTACCGACCGGTGACCTATGACATGTGCCAAGTGGACTTCCATCCCTATCCCTTCCAACGCAGCCTGACCAAGTCACCGTTCAGGGAGGGGACTTAACCATGGATTGCAGGGTTGCAGATCAAGATGGGAATATCATTGTGGTTCATGAAATGGTTCAATGGTATTTCAGTGAGTCATATCATCATGAGTGTGGATATGTCGGTCATTTTCATGATGGGAATGGTAATCGTTGTTATAAAATTGGTTTGGAGAGAGTGACTTGCTTGTACGCGTACCATTCAATCGGGTATCCAATGACCTTACTCAGCAGAATGGTTATCATGGTATATCATGGTTATATAGTGATATGATATATATATATATGTATATATATATATAATCGTTGAACACCAGACATGGTTAATACCATCATATGATATTAACCATGCATCAGATGGATATGTTATGGGGATATTGGAACATCATTGAAAATCTGGATCAATGAATGGTCCTGGTCCTGACCACGCTGCGATGTCACTGGATGTGACTTAGTGAGGGGAATTGTCCCCAATTGGCCGAACTTTCAGGTAAATTGTGCTGATTTACCCTCTGCTTATGTCAAAATAACTATTGAAAATGGCCATAGAAATAGTTGATTTACCCATTGAAAATGGTGATTTTCCATAGCTATGTAAACGTTTACCAGAGGGTATACAGAACGATGGGAATCATAAGGGCAACCATCCCATATCTTCCTGATGTTTTCAGGTTGCTGAATGATTATCGTACTTGCAAAGGTTGGTTGGAAAATCCAAATGTTTATCAAAATATAGATTCCCGAAGATAGCGATGGAGAGAGATATACGATACGAGTGTTTAAACGAATAGACAAGAATTAGCATTCTAGAAACGTAGTTTTAGCACAGGACATAGCCCTATGGAATTTGCGAAATGAGCTCGCACCTTCAAGCCCACTCAACTGAAATCGTGTTTGTTGGGACTGCGGTAAATTTGGTTGTCCAAATCATGTAGGCATCGGACAGAGGAACCTGTCCCTGTTTCGTTCCTAAATAATTCAAGCAAACCCAAGAATTTCAAACGATTTGCAGAATTTGAAGGTAAAAGTGCACCAGCCCCTTTTTTGATTGGAAACAATTGGAAACAACAAATATATCAGTGAAGGACACTAAGAGCAATCATCAGGAATCCAAGTTTCTTCCAAGTGCAGCTTACATCCTTGAGGACGCATATATAGCCATTATTTGGGCGTCTCGCTATCTCCTGACAGGATACAATCTTCCAAGTCAAGACTTCGGCAGTTTTTCGGTGGTCACCAACCTCCGCACTCCAGATGGATCTTTGGCATTTCCCCGCCAGTCCCTGCGAAGAGCGGAGCGGGCCAAAACCGAGCCTTCCAGGGTCAAGTTCAAGCCGAGTGGTGGCGACTGGTGGTCAGTTTGAGTCTTTTTTCATGAGTTTTAAGTGAGTATTTGTCCAGCAGAAACAAATTGGGATACTAGTGGGATATTTGCACGTCTTAGATTTTTTCATGTAAATTTCCATAAGCTAATTAAAACATATTATGGTTGATCCCTTAGCTTTATTGTTAAAATATGTTTTAAAGTAAACTCTTTATCCATAGCGGGGATCCGGGACATTTAAGCACGAATCGCAAGAGTACTATTTGTCCATGTCTTTATATTCCCACTAATCATATATATATATACAGATATATAGACGCGTTTGATGTTTCTGCCTAGGCAGCCATAAGTATGCATAATTTTGCGTTTGTTTGGAAAACCGTGTTTTTTCGAACAAATACATTTTTTGATAATTTTTCAGAAACAAAGACGTTTTTTGAACATTTTCAGATTTTGAGTACGCTGGGCATTGTTTGCTTGTTCGGCCGTTGGGGCCGTCATGAAGCAAGGGAATAAATGAGACCTAGTGGGAAAGAATCATTTGCGCCAGCATTTCCGCAAGTGTCACTACTCCATGATGCATCCCACCACAAAATCTTGTAATGGGCATTGTGGCTTGCACTCACCTGGAATTGGTTGGGTGGTTAAAGGCCTTGAGCAACCTGTGGCATGGCTTTGCAGCCGTGTTGATGGGTGAATTCCATTTTTAACACAATCGCGCCAAAAACAAAAGCGGAAATTCCCGGAACAAATGCGGAAATTTGCGGAACAAACGCGGAAATTCACGGAATGGAGTCCAATGTCGTTTTTGGTTTTGATCCGCGCTGCCTCGGGCCATTTGTTGGCACTGACATGTTGCATTTATACCCCAAGAGTTGTACATTAGTCATGTTTCAGTAGATCTTGGTTGCCTAGCTCTTTTTCTTCAGATTTGATGGCAGTGTGAGTGGAAACCCGCGTGAGCTGAAACTCTGTCAGAACAAAACCGTTTTACACCCTTAGAAACACTGAAAGTCCCTTAGCTACCAAAACTATCGCTTAAGATCACAACGTGCACCCAAAGGAAAACAAACAAATACGTTTTTGCCTCAACAAATATGTTTTTGAGCTCAAATCAGCCGAGTACATTTTTTTTACAACCTTGGGATTTCCAAGTTATGAGGATAAATAAATCAGTGAATAAAAAATCAATAAAATATAATGGTAAAAAATACCTAAAATAAGTAAATAAATAAATTAATAAATCAATAAATAAGCACATACATATACACATTTGAATTTCAACAGCGAATTATCACTATTTTAGTTGCAAGATGTTGTTTTTCTATTTTTGGATCACAAAAAAACAGATGAACAGATGCATAAAGAAACGAATAAACTCATGTGCCATCCCCTTGCCACGGCAGGACTTTCTTCCGAACTCGAAAGCTACTACTTCTTGGACGGCGACGTGCCGCTGAAGGGACACGGCAAAGGCAATGCGAAGGGCAGCGACGTGCCGCTGAAGGGACACGGCAACACCGGGAATGCGAAGGGCTCGTCCCTGGGGGGAACGATCGTGACGATGCTGAATGCCTATATGGGACCATTGGACTTAATGCTTTGTCGATTTCATGAGGATTTTCCATATATTGGGAATAATAATCCCAACTGACTAAAGTTTTTTTAGGAGGGGTTGAAACCACCAACCAGATTTTTATTGATGATTTTGGGTGATTTGCGGATGATTTGTTTTAGTTTGCTCCATTAAAGCATTCGAAACTACCGGGAAGATGGTCCATGCGTTGAAGCAAACAGGATCTGGAATCTTGGTGCTTCCCTATGCCTGGAAACAAGCTGGCTGGCTCTGTGTGCTTCCTTTCCTCGCGGTGGCGATGATGATGAGCTTCACCCTGTGGCTCACGGGCTCCCTGGTTGGGAAACGGCGTGATGTGTGGAAATGGATGGGAAACGAATTGAAGCACAACAACAGCTAGACGGCTATTTCTAGAGTTGAACGGTCACAACATTTTTTCCGGTAGTTACAGACCATCATTGAATCACTTTAAACCCTAGACACTTTAAGAATCACCCAAACCAATGTCATTTGTTCACCATTTTTTCCTGCCAAGGCAGACATGGACGCTCGAGCCAACGAGATGAATGTGCCAATGGTCAGCCGCGACTGGGGGATGTTGGGTCAGATGGCTTTCGGAAGGTGTGGCCAGCTGCTGTTCTCTGGTTGTGCCCTTGTGGATCTTTATGGCGGCTTGGTGTCAGGACTGATCTTGGCATCAAATCAACTGCAGCTTGGATGGTAGCAGAGTTTTTGGAGAGTTTGGCCATGGATGGGATGAGATGGTGGTTTCACATGGATTCTTATGGGTTCACGTGTGCAGTTTGCACATGACATTTTTTTGGAGTTTTCAAAGGTTCTTATCGCACATCCCCGAAAACTGGGATGATATCGAGCATGATCCCAATTGACGTTTTTTGTGACCGGCAGGCAATTGCTATTCCCTTCCCTGTCCACTGCAGTTCTCAGTGTTGGCTGCTTTGGAGTTCTCCTCATATTGCTCTTCGTGCAAACTAGGCGCGGTTCACCATCCAGCTAACATACACAGCCCAGACATCATTCTTTTTTTTAGAGGAAGGTAGTCTTCCAACCCCAAGACATGGCAGGGTCTAGGTTGGGGGAATGGGACATGTTTTTGTTGGCAAAATCGATGTCATTTGATATTCTTGGATGGTGATGATGTCAGTCGCCACTGTTCAAGTTGTTGAGCCAGCCCATCCTGCCGCATGTCATTCAGTGGGTCGCAAATCCAATTTCTCCTTTGTATGTGACACACACACATATCAATATATAAAGAAATGAATATATATAATTTAAATAAATAAATAATAAATATTTATATTTACATATGCATATGCAAATAATAAAATGTAATCGAATATGCTACAATGTAATTTTATACAATAATATATATATATGCACGTAAAGATATGTACCTAGTCATGTATCACCTGTCAGTCCATGTGGCAGTCTGTCACATTTTCCACATTGCAGGCACTTCTCTTCTTTAGCAGTCGTTGGTTTGGGTAGCTTGGCACTCGAAGCCGTGGAGGTTCAACATCTCCAGCTTGAAAACCGATCTCTTATCCAGGGCAGGATGAAAACACCAAGCATTGCATAGGTTACATGTGTTTGCACCATGATTTACTGGGTTCATCATCATTGTCCCCATTCAAGCTGTCATCAATACCCCCAAGCTGATGAAATATTTCTCTCTCCATAATTCTCGACATTGTTGGTTATATATCCCATTATATCTCGAAATAGTTTAAGCAATAGAGCGCAGGTGTTATGAAGAGATTTTTGTTGGTTCTGATTTGCAGTAACGCCAGGATTCATAGACATTCTGTGCGCCATATTGCTATGTGTTTTGTTACTAATTGTTTCACACATCTGTGTGCTTTAAGCAGCCGAGACAACACCGATCATCTCCAACGGCTGGTGCTCTCCGAATTGGAGGTGGCTCAATGATGAACATATTTGGATGAAGCTATTTATGACCAGCTATGGGATATATATGTAAATAAATAAATAAATATATATATATATATGGGTAAATTTCATCACGACCTCACTTCTCCCGAACCCTGGAATCATGGTTTTTAAAGAGGAATCATCCCAAAAGGGGCGCAAGTTTCAGGTAAGTGAATTATTTTCATTTGCCCGCACACACATATATATATATACATATGTACTTGAATATTGTGGGGTAAACACACCACATATTCATGAGTAAACCCTGCCTTTCCAGTCCAGGGTCAATACGCTGACTTTTGGCTCAAGATGAAAAAGGCCGCTGCCGTTGCGCTCCGCGCGCTAGTTGGTCTTTGCAGTTACTTTTGGGGTTTCGTGTTAAACATCAACCGTTCAATTTATATACATATAAATGTCTATTTGATCATAAATGGCGGATTGGCCATTGCCATGTTAGTGGTGGGTGAATCATTTTAATTCAGCCAGTCATCGAATCAAAGTGATGAACGCACGGTTTCTTTTTTTGCAGTGGACCATCATCCTTTTTAATCACTACTGATCACCATCATCCTTGCATCAATGATCATTAACTAAGAATCATTAACACCAATGGCAACAAGGTTTGCAGAAAGGGTTGCTAAGTTGACGCAAATAATTGCTTGAGTATGGTTTAGGGCGCTATAGTCTGATACAACTATAGTGTTTCTCTGGTTTACAAATGGGGGTTTCCATACTCATGGAGGATCCCCAACAGCTGGCTTTATTTCATGGAAAATCCAAATGAACAATGGATGAGAACTGGGGGTACTCCACTTCGGAAACCTCCAATTTTGTTTCTTTCAAGCAGACATTGGCTGGAAGAAATCCTTCATCACCTTGGATGGTTGAAACCCTATAATGGTATGTTTACCACCTATCAGCTGGTGCAGCATTTCGGAAAACCATCCACCGGAATCCACCGTAGCTGGGTCAACATATCATGATTAATAATATCCCTTCAATTTGAATCCAGATGATTTTCTCATGTTACACAGGTGAAAAACATCCCTCAGTTTTATTTTCATCCCTTTGTCTCTTTCATCCTTCCAGGTAGCATGTTGATCATCCTGTCTTGCCTCCTTATTACCGGTGGCGAGCTGGTGGCCCTTGGCGAGGCGGCGGAGGACCAGGTGCGGCACCAGAACATCCTTGGAGATCCCTGGTGAAATGTGTGGAAAAAAACATCGGAAAACCATAGGAAAACCACAGGAAAAATGGAGAGAACCATTGTCTGTGGGAAATCCCAGGTCCCATCTTAATGGTGTTGTTATCCCTCTACTTATCCACATATTTGAATCACCCATCTTTGGAAAACCATATGTCAAGTTCCCAGTCTCTATCTGACGCAATCCATTTCAATCGCAAACGGTGTGGTGGGCAAAGACCCATGCCTCAATCCACTTGCTTGGATCAATCCGTATATTTGTTGGGGCGGGATATCTTACATGTTGGTCCCAGAATCCGGTCTTTCGTATTGGTTACATCATGATTCTCATAGTGTGGTTGATGATGTAAATCACGTGACAGCTAACAAACCCCATATTTTCTGTTTTGAATCCCACAGTTTTGCGCGATCTCGGACAGGCTGTTGAGACCATTTCCTATGGAAAATTGCCATTCAGTTCGATGAATCACATCTCAAAAGTTGTGTCTTTTCCAGCTCGCAAGAGTATATCTAGATTTACACCATTATATCAAATTAGTTACATCAAATTATACCAGTAGTACCGCACAAGGCGGTGGCGGAAGTTTCAAAAATAGGAAACCTATAGGAGAGGTTGGTTGTTGTGAATCACGGATGGCAGAGCGAAGCCACTGATGGACTGAAAGGTGCTTGAGGTCTCCTCTCTTTCTCTCTCTTTCTCTCTTTTTCTCTCTGTTTCTCTATCTTTCTCTGATTATCTACCTACCTACCTACCTACCTACCTACCTACCTACCTACCTACCTACCTACTGATCGATCTATCTATCTACCTATCTACCTATCTATCTATCTATCTGTCTAGCTGTCTACCTGTCTACCTGTCTATCTATCTATCTATCTATCTATCTATGTCTTTCTCTCTCTCTCTCTCTATCTATCTATCTATCTATCTATCTCTTTCTCTCTCTCTATCTATCTATCTATCTATCTATCTCTCTATCTATCTATCTATCTTTCTTTCTTTCTTTCTTTCTTTCTTATCTATCTGCCTATCTATCTATCTATCTATCTATCTATCTATCTATCTATCTATCTATCTATCCTATCTATCTTATCTATCCTATCTATCTTATCTAGCTTATCTAGCTTATCTATCTTATCTAGCTTATCTATCTTATCTATCTTATCTATCTTATCTAGCTTATCTATCTTATCTAGCTTATCTATCTTATCTATCGTATCTATCTTATCTATCTTATCTATCTTATCTATCTACCTTATCTATCTTATCTATCTTATCTACCTTATCTATCTTATCTATCTTATCTATCTTATCTATCTATCTATCTATCTATCTATCTATTTGTTCTTTCGTTCTTTCTTATCTATCTATCTATCTATCTATCTATTTATCTATCTATCTATCTATCTATCTTGTCTATCTTGTTTATCTTTCTACCTTATCTACCTTATCTACCTTATCTACCTTATCTACCTTATCTACCTTATCTACCTATCTACCTATCTATCTATCTATCTATCTATCTATCTATCTATCTATCTAATCTTTCTTATCTTTCTTATCTTTCTTATCTTTCTTATCTTTCTTATCTATCTATCTATCTATCTTTCTTTCTTTCTTTCTTTCTTTCTTATCTATCTACCTATCTATCTATCTATCTATCTATCTCTCTCTCTTTCTCTCTATCTATCTATCTATCTATCTATCTCTCTCTCTCTCTCTTTCATCTGTCTATCTGTCTAGCTGTCTACCTGTCTATCTGTCTATCTATCTATCTATCTATCTGTCTATCTGTCTACCCGTCTATGTGTGGTGCAGTGTCATTCAGTGTAATGTAGTGTAGTGTAGTGTAGTGAAGACAGTGAAGTGTAGTGGAAGGTCGTGTAGTGTAGTGTAGTGTAATGTAGTGTAGTGTAGTGTAGTGTAGTGTGGTGGAGTGTAGTGTATTGTGTAGTGTAATTCAGTGTAGTGGAGTGTAGTGTAATGTAGTGTCGTGTAATTGAGTGTTATTGAGTGTAGTGTATTGGAGTGTAGTGTGGTGTAGTGGTGGTTGTAGTTGAAAATGCTACAAAACCCTCACGTTTTGCTCACTTTTGACAAGGTGCACAATCCCTTGTGACCTTGTGCCTGCCACACGAAGCGACATCTGAACCTCCAAAAGTGGTCCGAACCCCTGGTGTTTTTAACATTTCGACTTCGAAATGTGAATCGCGCCACAACGGCGTGCACTTTTTAGACATCTGAACATCCAAAAGTGGTCCGAAACACTGGTGTTTTGAACATTTTGACTTGGAAATGTGCTTCGCGCCACAACGGCGTGCACTTTTTCGACATCGCAACTTCCAAAAGTGGTCCGAGAATGGTGTGTTTTGTACATTTTGACTTGGAAATGTGCTTCGCGCCACAACGGCGTGCACTTTTTCGACATCTCAACTTCCAAAGTGGTCCGACCATGGTGTGTTTTGTGCATTTTGACTTGGAAATGTGCTTCGCGCCACAACGGCGTGCACTTTTTCGACATCTCAACTTCCAAAAGTGGTCCGAACCCTGGTGTTTTGTACATTTTGACTTGGAAATGTGCTTCGCGCCACAACGGCGTGCACTCTCGCGACATCTCAACTTCCAAAAGTGGTCCGAACCCCTGGTGTTTTGTACATTTTGACTTGGAAATGTGCTTCGCGCCACAACGGCGTGCAATTTTGCATCGCTCCTGTGGCCAGCTGGCTCCGCACCCGCCGCTTTAGCGAGCCTACTTTTCGACCCTCCGGAGCCTCAAATCATTGGAAAAACACAGTGTTTCGCGACTTTCCTACCTTTTCGCGCATCTGCATCTTCTTTCTTCTGACTCTTTCTCTTCTACTCTTCTCTCTTCTAATCTTTCTCTTCTCTCTGCCTCTGCCCTGCGCTGCTTTTCATCTGTCCATATTGTCGGAAGTTTGACTTCTAAACTTCCTTCGATCACCATTAAATCCCATGACATCCCGTTAAATCGCCTTGAAAACAAATAAAATCCACCATTCAATGACCATGTGACTGTCCCTGTCAGGTGATGGTGAACTGGGCAAGACTTCCCCCAGCAGCAGGGGTGGCCATTTACACCTTCATGGTACATTCAGAGGCGCCCTTGGTCTATCAGCTGATGGAGGTGGGATACGCTGTGTTTTGATGTGGGACCCTCCCACTGTGTGGTGATGATAAAGGTTGATCCCGTTCAGGACCCCTCCCAATGGAGCCAAGCTGTACTGTGCAGCACGGGCCTTGCGGCGGCATTTTTTGCGGCTCTTGCAATGCTGTGCTACAGCTTCTTGGTCGTTGCGCTTGAGAGAAGTTGATCTCAGTTGGGCGTCCTTTTGGGATGATTGCAACAAGTTGGCTACATTTTGCACTCAAAAAAAGAATGAAGCTTGAAATTTAACATGTGCACACTTATGCATTATATATATATATAGCAAATAGCACCATACAATACCATATATATATACATATATGTATATATATATATATACATATATGTATATATATATATATATAACACCATCTAGTATATAGTATCCATCTATCTCGATCCAAGACCTGTCCAAGACCGAGTTTGCAAGTCCTGAGTCCCACCTTTCCGATTTTCGTCCAGGTTTCTTTGGCGATGGCACAGCGCAGTCCTTCCCTATGAATTTGGGCCGCAGTCCATTGAACCTGCAGCTGCTACCAGGAGAACTCAACGGTGCCATGAGTGCCCTCTGCCTGATCAGCGTGACGCTGAAGTTGCTGGTGAATGTGCCATTGCTGGCAGCTCCCATTCTGGGGCCTTTGGAGGAGATTTTGGATGATTTTTGGTTGGTGCGATGTTTCGTTTTATTTTTTGGGTAAGTTTTGTGCTGGAGGGGTTTAGTTTTGTAATCAATTGGATCTTTCAAGTTGGCTCATCTTTTCCCAAAAAAGGAGGACCTGGAATCCCCTGCAGTTGGTGTTTTTTTCCCCTGGGGCTTCCAGGAGTGCTTGCGCCTGGGCTGCTGGATGAAGGTCCTCTTCTCTCTGGTCACCGCCTGCCTGTGCCTCTTGCTCCACAATGATGCAGCCTTTGTGATCGAACTCGTGGCTGGGCCAACCCCTCGGAGCCAGTGATGAGATGATGTCACGGCAGGAACAGGTAGATAAGAACACCAGCATTCAACATCTTTGGACACATAGTGCACTATACATAAACACTACATACACAGGCGCAGACATGTGTATATACATTTTTTTACATTTGTATACATATTTGTATGCATATATATACATATACGTATATGTATGTATATGTAATATATGTATATTCTTATATGTTTCCGACCGTTGCCGACCGTTTCCGACCGTTTTCATTTTTTCTGAATGATTATATAATTATTGGACCAATTCCATTTATGGAAGGCTGATCCAGTGCAAACCCGTGCAAACCATAACGCTTAAGTTTTTTCGTGCGACCCTTGTGCGCGTACACTGCACCAAATATTGCATCGTGACCTTGATATCCAATACTCCCTAAAAGTCACAAAATCCCAGGAGCTCGTGAAATTCAATATATTTGTATATATACAAATATATATATATACAAATATATATATATATATATATATTTGTATATATACAAATATATTTGTAAATATATATATATATGTATATATTTACATATTATATATATATGTATATGTATATATTTACATATTATATATATATGTATATGTATGTATATATTTATTTTTGTGCATATATATATACAAATATATATATATATATATTTGTATATATATATATATGTGTGTACATTTACATATACATACAGTAGATGGACAAATTATTCAAACCCCTATCCATGGGTTATAGGCCACCCCCTACCTCCCCCGAATTTCAATGTTATGGTTTCGTAGCGCTGTTCCTGCTCTCGGGGTTTGATTTATTTCGTCCATTCGAAGGAACGAACCAAACAAGAAAATAACATTGATATTTGGGGTGAGGGGGGTTGCTCTATGTATAAGACGTATAAGGGTTTGAATATTTCGTCCATCTACGGTATGTATATATTTATATATGTAGATTAATAGGTATTTACACGCATAAATATTGCATGTTTTTGTTGATGTCTAGGTGGGCATCGTGCCACAAAACTTCATTTGCATCGTGCTGCCGTGCGCGGCCTTGCTGAAGCTGCATGGAGACTTGGGAGGTCGGGTTGGCCCAAAATTTGGTGATTTAATGGCGACTGGTCATCAAACATGGCAATGGAAATCCCCTATAAATGGAGGTTTGAATGGGAAAATGATATATATAATATATATATAAAATATATATATATAATATACTGTATATATATATATATATGGGAATAACGTGTTTCACCTCCCCCACCCAATGTTTTCAAGTATTTTATATGTGCACGTTTCAGAGATGTTGTGCACGTGTCAGAGATGTTGTGCACGTTTCCCAGCAGTTGTGCAAGTTTCACAGAAGTTGCGCTCTTTTCAAAGAAGTTGTGCACGTTTCACAAGCCCCTAATAATGTTCGTGTTCAACTGCATTGGGGCGACCAAACACGTTCTCCCGATATATGTATTAATATATATTATGTATACATAACTGGGGAATGTTAAAATGCCACGTTTGATTTCCAAAGGCTGGTACAAGGCTTACAGGCAAAGGATGTAAAAAGGGAATTATTTGTGGTTAGCAGAATGGTTCGCGCAACGGTTACTTCTATCAAATATGGGTGATATCAGGTTTGAGACTTTATATATTGGATGATTTGCCCAGATGAATGGGATGGCTCCAGGATTTCCCGCTCGCATTGCGTCGCCTCAAGTTGAAAGTGTGGAAATCCCCCAGCGACAATTCCCTGAAACAGCAGATGAAGTCAAACCAAAGGATATCCAGTGATCTATCGCTTGCGTGTGTTTCTTTGAAATTCGTAGGGTTTCCCATTTGCAAGGACATGTGTTGTATATATGTTTGGCAAAGGGTTATTACTACTGAGCGTTTTTCTTCCTCTGTGAATATGAACTTGCTTGTTGCTTTCTACTATATATTTCTATTTAAATTTCTATATATATATATGAGTTTGTCTGAAAATAGGGTACCTCTACATATGTAAATGAACTGGGTAATCATCATTCTCATCTTTTGAAAATTCCCAGTTGGGGATAAACCTTCTTTTTTTCAGACAGACCCATATCATTATCATAGTTTCCCTTGTTTAACCCAGTGATGGTTTAAAAAGCCTATAAATTTCCGTGACATTTCACATCATTTCACCATGGGAGGCTTTCGAAGTTGCATCCTTTGGTTCCTGATCGTCAGCTTCGCTATCTATGGCCTGGGTGCAACTGTGGCTGTTGTGTTGGAGAATGTGCCATGGATTTGCTGAAAATCGGCAGGAAAAGTGAAGAAACATTTTTTCTTGAAGGGAAAGTCTATAGGAAACCATTGTTTTATGGCTTTTAACTGTGTTTCAACCATGTTTTTGAACGGAAAATGTATTGCTAACCATGGATTTTAGTCGTTTTTATTCCCAAATCATCCAAATCCCGAGAGGTTTCCTATGGTTTCCGATTTTCCCTTCAATACTGGGATTCTGTTCTTATGAGTGTCAATCGAACTACTAGGAAATTAAGAAACTTGGAATATACCTGGCTTATTTCGCAGTTGGGAATCTATATTGGGAGTGCGTGTTTCTTTTTAGTGGCCCCCTTTGAACAGAGCAAAGGTGCCGAAGAAGCTGGGACTTGACGTCGCATAAGGTGAAGCATTGACTAATTGAATACCTTGGCTCACCCGCAGCCCTGTTTGCTGATTTACTCAGCAACAAACTGGAATTAATGGTGGTGATTCTTAGTTGTGCCATCCCTAAGTGAGATGGTGATTTTGACCATCTTAAAACATTGCTGATGTGCAGCCGCTCTTGCGACTTTCATTCTTTTGATTTTGCCGCACTCTTAAAACCAGTGCCCCTTTGAAATGGTTCATCTGCGAAATGTACAGATGCACAGACGCAGTGACCACTCCGTTCAGCGGTAATTGAGATGGCCGTTGTTGTGATTTCTTTGTATAGGGCCGGCGCCGTACCGCTACCGGTGCTCCTGCGACCGGACGCCATTTTGAACGCCTCTAAGCCAGGGTTTACGGCAGGCAAGTTGAAAAACTTCGGAGGGGGATGTTTGAAGCTGAGTTGATTGGATCATATTGGCTCGTATTGGATCGTTACCCGTAACCGGGGTAAACATAAGATCACCCATGGTGAAACCATGGGAACATGATCTAGATTCACGGTGGGTTTTTGCACATTTGTGTTGGTTTACGGGAGTGTATGTATCAAGCATCATACCCCAACGGGTCCTGTGGCCTCCCTTGGTCCATCAAACGATTTTCCTTTGGAACCCAGCCGTCGAAGTGGATTTGATAGGGGAACCGAAGGCAGCGCAATTCGATATGCTTCCCAGCTCGGAGAGCGGGAAGCCAATTGGTGGCTTCGCGCGGTCATGCAAAGATCGCCTAGGCCTGTTTGTGTCCAGTCTATGCATGGCAGCACGAAGCCTGGACTTCTCATGCTGAGGAATGGGAAAAGAATGTTTCCATTGCCATTTTGGTAAATTTGGTAACATCTGTAAAGAAAACAAGTGACCCATCGCTTTCCAGCCTGTTCGCGCAACAAGGCCCTCTGAAGGGAGCTTACGAGGGTCCCTCTCCCGAGTTTCAACAAGAGAACCCAAGAAAACCCAACAAACTGGGGTCCAAGATTAGCAGATTTCATTTGGATTTTACAGGTCAAAATATGAGTCCATGATGAGTGGGATATCTTCGCAGCCGTTTTGCGGTTCTTCGCTGACCGTTACAATACACCCGATTTTGTGTTGCCATTGCAACATCTTCCTTCGCTAGGAATCCAATCATGGAAGTCGTAGAGGGGTCAGCATCCTATGGCGGCTGTGACTATGATGCGACGATTGCGGCCCAGTATGATTCACTCCACAAGGACCCTAAAAGTCTACAGGAGGATCTAGCGATTGCGGGATTCTTGAGAGAGTTTCTTGGCAGATTTGGCAGGTGCGGGTACAGGGCACAAGAACAAACACATAAACTACAAATAACATCAAACAACTACATCCTTTAGGGCTATGTTAACATACGTTAACATTCACCATTAAACACTTAGCAGGCCCATGGGGCCCATGAGGTGATTTTTGGGTTAAATTTTGGGGTACCCAAACGACTTGCTCTGGGTCCCTGGATTTCATCGAATTTTTGACGAATCAGAGTAAGAAGTGCGTAGCCTGAACCATCCCAACTCGCGATAGTTATATAATTATATATATATATATCCTATGTATATGGTACATCCCCATTCTTTTAGGTAAAAGCATCATGTTTGATAGTTGAATCAGCTCAAATCCCCTATATTGTTTGGATAAATCATGATAAATCCAGATGAACTTGATGGAAACAGCTCCCTTTTGGTTGCTGCTTACCTCCAGGTACGTGGCTCCCGGTTGCAAAGTCCTAGACCTGGGCTGTGGCACTGGGCTATTGCTGGAACTGCTAGCTCTGCAGCCGGAGGATTACCTCGGCATCGATCACTCCGAGAAGATGTTGGAGGAGTTGCAGAGCAAGTTTCCGGAGCATGAGACCAAGAAAAAGGCTGATTTTGGGATGTTGGGTGATGTTGGGGACAGTTTTTTCGGCTCATTTTTTTGTGGAACCCCCACAAAAATTGGAACAGATGTCAAAAGGATAAAAAACCGTAGTAAGTTAGAACACTGTAAATAGTTTAATTACTATTCCAAAATAGGATTTTGGAATTTTCTCTCAAGGAATGGGGCAGGACGATGTCAAAATTTCAGACTTATGGGAAGATTTGTTTTTTTGGTGTGTGTGGTTTCATACTAAATCCCTCCCATTGGGGAAGCTTCATTGGATTGGCTTTCAGGCCTTTGGAGCAGAAGATTTGGAGGACTTGGAGGGCCAATATCGTCCTAATTTGATAAGATTTTTGTCCCAACTTTTGGGGAATTTTTGTTCCAACTTAGGGACAATAATTCCCCAAACTTGGGGACAATAATTACCAAACCTAGGGACAATAATTACCCAAACTTGGACAAAATAGCTCTAAAGAAAACGTGGTAGAGCGCCATGCTAATCTATATCTATATCTATGACTATCTAGATGCAAACATGTAGTATCTGAGTACGTTAGCTTAATTTCTCATCCTACATTAGATATGACATGTTCAATGCTCATAAGTCTCAGAATTCTAAGATGTCTTTTGCGAGTTTCATGGGCCATTTTTTGGGCCAGATGAAACCCTTGAGGATGTTGATGTGGCAGTTTCATTATTCGGACCCATCAGCTACGTCGATCCAGACTTAGTCTTCCAGCTGGTCTCCAGCGGTGTGACCGAGCTCTATCTTGGGAGTTAAGGAAACTGCTGAGAGCTTCCCTCATGATATGTACAATGATGATACGGTGGATGGTTGCGAAATCCTGGATAGGTGGTAAACATCCCACTATTTATAGGGTTTCAACCATCCTTTTGGTGGTGCAGGATTTTGCAACCATCCACTGTATCACGTACACTATCGTACACTTGTACCAAAGATCATGATGTAAACCCACAGTCAGTCATTCTAAGATTGTTCTCAGGTTCTTGGGATTTACCCTCTGGTAAACTAACATAATGATAGAAAATCACCATGCTATTAATGGGAAAACTCACTATTTCTATGGCCATTTTCAATAGCTATTTTGACATAACCAGAGGGTAGGATCCCACTTCAACCTGCGGCCTTGGTGTTTGTAACCCCCTTTGATCTTTCTGCACCAGATCCAACTGTCGTACTTCTTGATGATCAAGCATTTTTTACGTAAATAGGTTGTTTGGATTTTCCTTGGGTTCTGGCCATAGCAAAGCTACTTTGCTGGGTCGGGAAACTTTGATACTCTTTGATCAAAAAAATGGCCTCCAATTGTGTGTAGATTCATTGTCCAGACAAAAATATTTGGGATGAGGACCCAACTGACGAACTCATATTTTTTAGAGGGGTTGAAACCACCAACCAGTATATATATATATCCATCATACCATCTCCGATCATAGTGCCGCTAAAGCTCTTACATGTTTCTTAGATGTTCTTATCCTCATCCCCCGAGAAATGCCTTTTATATAAACTAGTATCACATTTAACCGAACCCAACCAATCCCGATATCCTGCAGACATCCACATAAACTGGCGGGTTCAGTAGGGCGAAGAATTTTTTAAGAACTTTGATTCCTGATTTCTACCATGTTAAACCATGTTAAACCACAATGTTTTGGGTGAACAATCCACTGTATTTTCTAGGTGAACTACTTCCTGATGTTTTACAAGGAAGACTACCGACCGGTGACCTATGACACGTGCCAAGTCCATCCCTATCCCTTCCAACGCAGCCTGACTAAGTCACCGTTCAGGGAGGGGACTTAACCATGGATTGCAGAGTCAGGATGGGAATATCATTGTGGTTCATAAAATGGTTCAATGGTATTTCAATGAATCATATCATCACGAGTGTGGATATGTCGGTGAATTTTATGATGGAAATGGTTATCGTGGTTATAAATTGGTTTAGAGAGAGTGACCTACTTGTACCATTCGATTGGGTATCCCATGACCTTACTCAGCAGAATGGTTACCATTAGTACCGCACAAGGCGGTGGCGGAAGTTTCAAAAATAGGAAACCTATAGGAGAAGTTGGTTGTTGTGAATCAGGGATGGCAGAGCGAAGCCACTGATTGACCGAAAGGTGGTTGGAGTTGTGTTTGCTGGAATGGTTGCAATGTTTGCAGTGGTCACCTCACCCACAACTGCTGGATGTAGTGTGATGTACTGCAACTGTAGTTGTAGTTGTAGCGTAGTGGAGTTGTAGTTGTGGTGTAATGTAATTAGTGTAGTGTAGTTGCGGTCATATAGTTGTAGCTGTAGTTGTTTTGTAGTTGTAGTTGTAGTTGTTGTAGTTGTAGTTGTTGTGTGGTTGTAGTTGTTGTGTAGTGTAGTTGTAGGTGTAGTAGTAGTAGTAGTAGCAGCAGTAGTAGTAGTTGTTGTTGTTGTTGCTGTTGTTGTAGTTGTTGTTGTTGTAGCTGTAGTTGTTGTAGTTGTAGTTCTAGTTGTAGTTGTTGTGTAGTTGTAGTTGTAGTTGTAGTTGTAGTTGGGTGTAGTTGTTGTTGTTGTTGTTGTTGCTGTTGTTGTTGTAGTTGTTGTAGTTGTAGTTCTAGTTGTAGTTGTAGTTGTTGTGTAGTTGTTGTAGTTGTAGTTGTTGTTGTTGCTGTTGTTGTTGTTGTTGCTGTTGTTGTTGTTGTAGTTGTTGTAGTTCTATTTGTAGTTGTAGTTGTAGTTGTTGTGTAGTTGTTGTAGTTGTAGTTGTTGTAGTTGTAGTTGTTGTGGTTGGTGTTGGTGTTGGTGTTGGTGTTGGTGTTGTTGTTGTTGTTGTTGTTGCTGTTGCTGTTGCTGTTGCTGTTGTCGTCGAAGTTAGGGTAGTGAAGTTAGTTAAGTTAGTCAAGTTAGTTAAGTTAATCAGTGTCTACTTTTTCGACATCTTCACGTCAAAAAAGGCTCAAAACCCTCAGTTTTTTTACACTTTTGATTTCGAAATGTGCTTCGCGCCACAACGGCGTGCACTTTTTAGACACTTTTTCGACATCTGAACCTCCAAAAGTGGTCCGAGACCGTGTGTTTTTACATTTTGACTTCGAAATGTGCTTCGCGCCACAACGGCGTGCACTTTTTCGACATCGAACTTCCAAAAGTGGTCCGAACATGGTGTGTTTTGTACATTTTGACTTGGAAATGTGCTTCGCGCCACAACGGCGTGCACTTTTTCGACATCTCAACTTCCAAAAGTGGTCCGACCCTAGTGTTTTGTACATTTTGACTTGGAAATGTGCTTCGCGCCACAACGGCGTGCACTTTTTCGACATCTCAACTTCCAAAAGTGGTCCGAACCGTGTTTTTACATTTTGACTTCGAAATGTGCTTCGCGCCACAACGGCGTGCAATTTTTCATCTCTCATCTGGCCAGCTGGCTCCGCACCCGCCGCTTTAGCGAGCCTACTTTTCGACCCTCCGGAGCCCCAAATCATTGGAAAAACACAGTGTTTCGCGACTTTCCTACCTTTTTGCGCATCTGCATCTTCTTTCTTCTGATCTTTTCTCTTCTGACTCTTTTCACCTCTGCTTTTCAACTGTCCATATTGTCGGAAGTTTCACTTCTAAACTTCCTTCGATCATGGTATACCATGGTTATATAGTGATATGATATAATCATTAAACACCAGACATGGTTAATACCATCGCATGATATTAACCGTGCATTAGATGGATTGGTCATGGGGATATTGGAATATCATTTTTCAAATCTGGATCAATGAATGGTCCTGACCCCGCTGCGATGTCACTGGATGTAACTTAGTGAGGGGAATTGCCCCCAATTGGCCGAACTTGTCAGGTGAATTGTTATGATTTATCCAGAAGGATGGGAATCATAAGGGCAACAATCCCATATCTTCCTGATGTTTTCAGGTTGTCGAATGATTATCGTACTTGCAAAGGTTGGTTGGAAAATCCACATGTTTATCAAAATATAGACCCCCGAAGATAGCGATGGAGAGAGATATACGATACGAGTGCTTAAACGAATAGACAAGAATTAGGATTCTAGAAACGTAGTTTTAACACAGGACATAGTCAGCTTGAAATCATGTAGGCATCGGACAGAGGAGCCTGTCCCTGTTTCGTTCCTATATAATACAAGCAAACCCAAGAATTTCAAACGGTTGTCAGAATTGCTTGAAGGTAAAATCTGCACCAACCCCTTTTTTTGATTGGACACAATTGGAAACAACAAATATATCAGTGAAGGACACTAAGAGCAATCATGAGGAATCCAAGTTTCTTCCAAGTGCAGCTTACATCCTTGAGGACGCGTATATAGCCATTATTTGGGCGTCTCGCTATCTCCTGACAGGATACAATCTTCCAAGTCAAGACTTCGGCAGTTTTGCGGTGGTCACCAACCTCCGCACTCCAGATGGATCTTTGGCATTTCCCCGCCAGTCCTTGCGAAGAGCGGAGCGGGCCAAAACCGAGCCTTCCGGGGTCAAGTTCAAGCCGAGTGGTGGCGACTGGTGGTCAGTTTGAGTCTTTTTTCATGAGTTTTAAGTGAGTATTTGTCCAGCAGAAACAAATTGGGATACTAGTGGGATATTTGCACGTCTTAGATTTTTTCATGTAAATTTCCAGAAGCTAATTAAAACATATTATGATTGAACGTTTAGCTTTATTGTTAACCAGAGGGTATAGGTTTTTTAAAACCTTTATCCATAGCGGGGGATCCGGGAAATGTAAGCAAGAATCGCCAGAGTACTATTTGTCAATGTTTTTTTTATATTCCCACTAATCATATATATATAGACTCCTTTGATGTTTCTGTTGGTCCTGGCCATTATGAGGATAAATAAATACATGAATGAATGAATAAATAAATAAATGAATGAATATACATATTTGATTTTCAACAGCAAATTATTACTATTTTAGTTGGAAGATGTTGTTTTTCTATGTTTGGGTCTCAAAAAACAGATGAACAGATGCACAAAGAAACGGATAAATTCATGTTCCATCCCCTCGCCACGGCAGGACTTTCCGCCGAACTTGAAAGCTACCCCTCGGACAGAGCCGGGCTGCTGAAGGGACACGGCAATGCGAAGGGTTCGTCCCTGGGGGAAACGATCGTGACCATGCTGAATGCCTATATGGGACCATTGGATTTCATGAAAAAACTTTTGCGATTTCATGAGGATTTTTACTGATGATTTTGGATGATTTGCGGATGATTTGCGGATGATTTGTTTTGTTTTCCTTTGATAAAGCAAAATAGAAACTGGAAACCGGGAAGATGGTGAAGATGGTCCACAAATCCCAGGATCTGGAATCTTGGTGCTTCCCTATGCCTGGAAACAAGCTGGCTGGCTCTTTGTGCTTCCTTTCCTCGCGGTGGCGATGATGATGAGCTTCACCCTGTGGCTCACGGGCTCCCTGGTTGGGAAACGGCGTGATGTGTGGAAATGGATGGGAAACGAATTGAAGCACAACAACAGCTAGACGGCTATTTCTAGAGTTGAACGGTCACAACATTTTTTCCGGTAGTTACAGACCATCATTGAATCACTTTAAACCCTAGACACTTTAAGAATCACCCAAAGCAATGTCATTTGTTCACCGTTTTTTCCTGCCAAGGCAGACAAACCATTTCTCAGGTACTCTCTTCCGCCTTGTGGACGCTCGAGCCAACGAGATGAATGTGCCAATGGTCAGCCGCGACTGGGGGATGTTGGGTCAGATGGCTTTCGGAAGGTGTGGCCAGCTGCTGTTCTCTGGTTGTGCCCTTGTGGATCTTTATGGCGGCTTGGTGTCAGTACTGATCTTGGCATCAAATCAACTGCAGCTTGGATGGTAGCAGAGTTTTTGGAGAGTTTGGCCATGGATGGGATGAGATGGTGGTTTCACATGGATTCTTATGGGTTTACGTGTGCAGTTTGCACATGACATTTTTTTAGAGTTTTCACAGGTTCTTATCGCACATCCCCGAAAACTGGGATGATATCGAGCATGATCCCAATTGACGTTTTTTGTGACCGGCAGGCAATTGCTATTCCCTTCCCTGTCCACTGCAGTTCTCAGTGTTGGCTGCTTTGGAGTTCTCCTCATATTGCTCGTCGTGCAAACTAGGCGAGGTTCACCATCCAGCTAACATACACAGCCCAGACATCATTCTTTTTTTTTAGAGGAAGGTAGTCTTCCAACCCCAAGACATGGCAGGGTCTAGGTTGGGGGAATGGGACATTTTTTTGTTGGCAAAATCGATGTCATTTGATATTCTTGGATGGTGATGATGTCAGTCGTCACTGTTCAAGTTGTTGAGCCAGCCCATCCTGCCGCATGTCATTCAGTGGGTCGCAAATCCAATTTCTCCTTTGTATGTGACACACACACATCAATATATAAAGAAATGAATACATAATTTTATTAAATAAATATATATATTTATATTTACATATGCATATGCAAATAATAAAATGTAATCGAATATGCTATAATGTAATTTTATATAATAATATATATATATATATATGCACGTAAAGATATGTACCTAGTCATGTATCACCTGTCAGTCCATGTGGCAGTCTGTCACATTTTCCACATTGCAGGCACTTCTCTTCTTTAGCAGTCGTTGGTTTGGGTAGCTTGGCACTCGAAGCCGTGGAGGTTCAACATCTCCAGCTTGAAAACCGATCTCTTATCCAGGGCAGGATGAAAACACCAAGCATTGCTTAGGTTACATGTGTTTGCACCATGATTTACTGGGTTCATCATCTTGTCCCCATTCAAATTGTCATCAATACCCCCAAGCTGATGAAATATTTCTCTCTCCATAATTCTCGACATTGTTGGTTATATATCCCATTATATCTCGAAATAGTTTAAGCAATAGAGCACAGGTGTTATGAAGATTTTTTTGTTGGTTCTGATTCGCAGTAACGCCAGGATTCATAGACATTCTATGCGCCATATTGCTATGTGTTTTGTTACTAATTGTTTCACACATCTGTGTGTTTTAAGCAGCCGAGACAACACCGATCATCTCCAATGGCTGGTGCTCTCCGAATTGGAGGTGGCTCAATGATGAACATATTTGGATGAAGCTATTTATGGCCAGCTATGGGATATATATGTAAATAAATAAATAAATATATATATATATATATATGGGTAAATTTCATCACGACCTCACTTCTCCCGAACCCTGGAATCATGGTTTTTAAAGAGGAATCATCCCAAAAGGGCCGCAAGTTTCAGGTAAGTGAATTATTTTCATTTGCCCGCGCACACACATATATATATATATACTTGAATATTGTGGGGTAAACACACCACATATTCATGAGTAAACCCTGCCTTTCCAGTCCAGGGTCAATACGCTGACTTTTGGCTCAAGATGAAAAAGGCCGCTGCCGTTGCGCTCCGCGCGCTAGTTGGTCTTTGCAGTTACTTTTGGGGTTTCGTGTTAAACATCAACCGTTCAATTTATATACATATAAATGTCTATCTGATCATAAATGGCGGATTGGCCATTGCCATGTTAGTGGTGGGTGAATCATTTTAATTCAGCCAGTCATCGAATCAAAGTGATGAACACACGGTTTCTTTTTTTGCAGTGGACCATCATCCTTTTTAATCACTACTGATCACCATCATCCTTGCATCAATGATAATTAACTAAGAATCATTAACACCAATGACAACAAGGTTTGCAGAAAGGGTTGCTAAGTTGACGCAGTTAATTGCTTGAGTATGGTTTAGGGGGATATAGTCTGATACAACTATAGTGTTTCTCTGGTTTATAAATGGGGGTTTCCATACTCATGGAGGATCCCCAACAGCTGGCTTTATTTCATGGAAAATCCAAATGAACAATGGATGAGAACTGGGGGTACTCCACTTCGGAAACCTCCAATTTTGTTTGTTTCAAGCAGACATTGGCTGGAAGAAATCCTTCATCACCTTGGATGGTTGAAACCCTATAATGGTATGTTTACCACCTATCAACTGGTGCAGCATTTCGGAAAACCATCCACCGGAATCCACCGTAGCTGGGTCAACATATCATAATTAATAATATCCCTTCAATTTGAATCCAGATGATTTTCTCATGTTATACAGGTGAAAAACATCCCTCAGTTTTATCTTCATCCCTTTGTCTCTTTCGTCCTTCCAGGTAGCATGTTGATCATCCTGTCTTGCCTCCTTATTACCGGTGGCGAGCTGGTGGCC